AAATAAAATGGCCGAGCTTTAGGCGCTAAACTGTAAATTTAGATACAAGATTTTTCTTTTTTATTAGGTTTTATAGTAATAATTAAAAACGTCAAATTGCAAATTTGAAAATGTGCTAACACTAAAACTTTAAGACCTAAAAGAAATTCTTTTTTTTACAACTTTGAAGGATGTTAGTTTAATTAACTTAAAGTCTTAATATATTATATAAATTGAAGGAACTAATATCCCAATAAAATTTGTAATTATTACCATATTCATAATTTTATTTCCTTCATAATCCTTTGTAACTCAACCCCTAAAAGGAAATACTAAAGTCAAAAAAGAAATCCTTATACGAATATAAAAATAAAGAGTTACCAACCTACATATTAAAAGTACTAATAAAGGATATAAATAATTACTAAAAATTATTTCCTGAATAATAAATCACTTAGGAATAAACCCTAAAAAAGGAGGTAAACCTCCTAAAGAAAATAAACTCATTATAGACACAACCTTAGGTATTAAAGGAAATCTACTATTAACTAAATGAGAAAAATGATAAGCCTGCTGAAAATAAAAATTTATAATAACCAAAATTGAAAGTAAACAATACACCCTAAAGTATAATAATCAACAATACTCCCTTAAAATTATAGCAAAAAATATTCAAGATATATGATTAATAGAAGAAAATGCTATAATCTTTCGTAAATATAATTGATTTAAGCCCCTCACAGCCCCAACAATAGCAGATACTACAGCAGAAGTAAAAATTATAATTAAACTTCACTTATCATAAACCAAATAAGATAATAAAATTATAGGCCCCATTTTTTGTAAAGTTATTAAAATAATTGCTTGAATTCAACTTAATCCTTCTATAACCTGAGGAAATCAAAAATGAAAAGGAGCTGCGCCTAATTTTAATAATAATGACAAAGAAAATACTATCTTTAAATTTACCATCATCAAAATAAATAAAGCTGAAAAAATAATTATAATTGAAGCCAAAACTTGCACTAAAAAATATTTTAAAATACTCTCTGAACTATAACGGTTACTTCTAGAAGAAATTAAAGGAATAAAAGATAATAAATTTAACTCTAACCCCACTCAAGCCCCAAATCAAGTATCCGAAGAAATACATAATACTAACCCTAAAACTAAAGTAAAAAAAAAGAGTATTCTAAAAGGAGAAACCACCGGAAAGAGAGAAATTGATCTCATTCACGGGGTATGAACCCATTAGCTTATCTTAGCTTATCTTTCAATAATATGAGTAAATTTTACATAATTAGTCACATCAAAACTATCCTTTTATCAGGCATCATATTATTTATAGGTATACACCACTGCTGTGGCTTCAACACAACATTCTAATTTTAAATTATATAAATTAAATTAAAACCAACATAATAACAACAATAGTCACTCATAAAAAAAACCTCTTTATATAAATTTTAATTATATTACCCTGAGTAACTTCTAAATAATAAGAACCTTTTATAATTACACTAAATCCTCCTTGTCCCCCAAAATATTCAGATCATCCTTTATCTCCAATTTTATCATACCTTTTTCCCAATTTTAAAATATAATAATTTAATTTTACCCTAGATAAAAAAGGTATAAATCACATAGATCCTGAAAACCTTCTAATAAAATATAAACCTAAACTACTTAAAGTTTCATTTAAACTTATAATATTTAATATATATCCAGTAAAAGAACCAATTAATAATAATAATAATACCAAACTTTTTATAAACCTCCTTAAACAAATTATATAATATTCAGGAAATATTACTCAAGATAATCTTGCTCCTCTTAAAATAGAACTTAATCTTAATATTACCATAGGATTAGTTATAATAAAATCATTATCGCTAATCCCCCTCATATTTCTAATATGCCTTATTCTAGTAAGCCTATAAAAAATTAAACGAAAAGTATAACTTACTGTTAAACCAGTAGCTAAGATATATATAATAAACCTAATAAAATTAATATTACTTATAAAAGCTATCTCCAAAATTAAATCTTTAGAATAAAATCCAGCCATAAAAGGTATACCACATAAAGATAAATTTGATAAATTTATACAAACACCAGTTAAAGGTATTCTAATAATCAAGCCCCCCATTATACGAATATCCTGATAATCTCCCAAACTATGAATTACAACCCCCGCACATAAAAATAATAAAGCCTTAAATAAAGCATGAGTTAATAAATGAAAAAAAGCTAAATCAGGAAACCCCAAAGATAAAACTCTTAATATTACCCCCAATTGACTCAGAGTAGATAAAGCAATAATCTTCTTTAAATCATACTCAAAATTCGCCCCTAGACCTGCTATAAATATAGTTGTACAAGAAATAATTAATAAAAAAGATTGAACCGAAGCCCCTTCAAAAATAGGCCTAAATCGAATTAATAAATAAACACCAGCAGTCACCAGAGTTGACGAATGTACTAATGCAGAAACTGGTGTTGGAGCTGCCATAGCAGCTGGCAACCAAGCAGAAAAAGGAATTTGTGCTCTTTTTGTTATAGCAGCCACAACAATTAATACTTTTATTAAAATTATATCTTCACTAGTATATAATCTTCAAACCATAAAATTTCAGCCCCCCATTCTAAAAAACAAAGCAATACTTAAAAGAATTGCTACGTCTCCTACCCGATTTGATAAAACAGTTAACATTCCCGCATTAGCAGATTTTTCATTCTGATAATAAATCACTAATACATAAGAAATTAACCCTAACCCATCTCACCCTAATAAAATACTAATTAAATTAGGCCTAACAATTAAAGCATTTATTGAAATAACAAAAGCAAGTACTAAATATATAAAACGATTATAATGTTTATCTCCCCTTATATATCCCCCCCTATAAAATATAACCATAGAAGAAATAAATAAAATAAATCTTAAAAATATAAAACTTAACCAATCAAATACCAAAGTTACCACAATAGAAGAAGAATTTAAAGAATATAATTCCCACTCAATTACATACCTAACCAAATTCTGTAATCTCATTAAAGATATACTTAAACACAATAAAGAACTTACAATTAAAAAAACTAACCTCACTAAATGCATAGAGAATTTTCAAACCACTATTTAAAATAAATTCTTATAACTTTGACACCACAAATCAATATTTTCTTTTAAACTATTTAAATTAAATTAAAGGTAAAACTAAACCCCTCTTTAAAATTATTAAATTTAAAGGAATTCAATGGAGACTTAAAACATAATACTCCCTTAGCTTACCAGAACAACATGCATACAATGATCTAAAAAACGTCCCATGCTGTCTAATCGAATACAAATATAAAGTATAGGCTGCCCTAAAAAAAGACAAACCAATTAACCCAATTATCCTTACTTTTCTTCAACTTACTATTCCAATAATTAAATTAATTTCTCCTAACAAATTTAACGTAGGAGGAGCCGCTATATTCCTAATACTTAATAAAAATCACCATAAACCCAAAGAAGGCATTAAATTTAATAACCCCTTGTTAATTAATAAACTACGACTCCCTAATCGCTCATAAATAATATTAGATAAACAAAATAAACCGGACGAACATAATCCATGTCCTACCATAATAATAACAGCACCATTTATTCCCCATCATCTAAACACCACTAAACCACCTAAGACTAATCTTATATGAGCTACTGAAGAATAAGCAATTAAAGATTTCATATCCACTTGCCGTAAACATAAAATTCTAACAAAAACACCTCCTAAGACACTAATACCTACTCACACTCAAGAAAATATTTTATTTTCTTCAGTAAACATTCTTAATACACGAATTAAACCATACCCACCTAACTTTAATAAAACACCTGCCAAAATCATTGAACCAGCTACAGGAGCTTCAACATGAGCTTTAGGTAACCACAAATGAAATAAATACATAGGGAGTTTTACTACAAATGCCAGTATAGTAAAAAAATACCATAAAATACTGACCATTCCTAACTCAGATTCCCTTACTTTAGCTAACCCTATTATTAAACTACCCCCCACTATATACAACCTAATTAAAGACACCAATAAAGGTAAAGAAGCAAATAATGTATAAAATAATATATAAATACCAGCCTGAGTTCGCTCAGGCTGGTATCCTCAACCTAAAATTAAAATTAGAGTAGGAATTAAAGAACTTTCAAACCTTAAATAAAACATTAAATAATCTATAGAACAAAAAGTTATTACTAAAGCAAATAATAAAATTAAATTTAAAAATAAAAATAAACAACTAAATTTATTTGTCTTTTTTACTATTTGACTTCTATAAATAACAAGTACAACAATTCAAACCCTTAATATCACTAAAATTATACTTAAATAATCTGTCCCTAATTGTATTCCTAAATTAAATATATAAAAATCATGGCCCAACCCTAAAAACACTAAAAAACATATTAAAAACAACGCTAATTGTACAATACCCCAATTATTAATTAAAACCAATAATATTATATTTATAAGTAAAAATTTTATCATTACACTACATTAAATCTACCAAAATAATCATTACCATGAGAACATACAATAGAAATTAATAAAGATAACCCTAATGCCCCTTCACAAACTCCTAAAGTTAAAAAAAATAATACAAAATATATCTCAATACCTACTCTTATAATATATAAAACTATAATCCAAAATACCCTTAATATTACAAATTCTAATCTAAGCAAAGTATTTAATAAATGTTTTCGGTTAGAAACAAAAGATCATCCCCCACAAAACAATATAGCTAAAGAACAAATATAAACTAAATTTAAAGTATTCATTAGTTTTAATAGTTTAAAAAAAACCTTGGTCTTGTAAATCAAAATTGAATTACTATTCTTAAGACTTTAAAATATAATTTTAAAATTATTTTAATTTTTATTTCAACTACCGTCTTCATCTCCATTCTATTCACTCGGTTAGTGCACCCCCTATCCATAGGGTTGACATTATTTACTCAAACCCTAATTATTTGTATTACCTCTGGATTTTCTAATAATTCATTCTGATTTTCCTACATTCTATTCTTAATTTTCCTAGGAGGAATATTAGTTTTATTCATTTATGTAGCCTCATTAGCCTCAAACGAAATATTTGGAATCTCATTTAACACCTTATTTACCTTAACATTTATTATTTCCATAATTTGTCTTATTTCTTTCCTTGTCGACCCTTTATTAACCAGCTCTAAATATAGAATTAGAAGTTCTTCTATTATATTCCCCTATAAATTTAGAAATGCCCCTTTAATAACAAGAACTATTTATAACTCCTCATCAATAATATTTACTCTATTTATCATTACATATTTACTTCTTACCTTATTTGCCGTAGTAAAAATTATCAACGTCCACTCCAGGCCCTTACGAGTAAATAACTAATGTTTAAACCCTTACGAAAAACTCATCCTTTATTTAAAATTATTAATAGATCATTAATTGATATACCAATTCCTAGAAATATTTCAATTATATGAAATTTTGGCTCACTATTAGGATTATGTTTAGTTATTCAAATTATAACAGGCTTATTTCTATCTATACATTATACCCCTAATATTGAAATAGCTTTTTCAAGAACTATCCACATTTGTCGAGACGTAAACTATGGGTGACTATTACGTACCATTCATGCCAATAGGGCCTCTTTTTTTTTTATTTGTTTATACTCCCACATTGGACGAGGAATATACTATAGTTCTTATACTTATTTTCATACCTGAATAGTTGGTGTATTAATTTTTTTCTTAACCATGGCCTCAGCCTTTTTAGGCTACGTCTTACCCTGAGGGCAAATGTCTTTCTGAGGAGCAACAGTTATTACTAACCTCTTCTCTGCTATTCCCTTCCTAGGTACAGATTTAGTTCAATGGATTTGAGGTGGCTTCGCCGTAGACAACGCCACTTTAACTCGTTTTTTCTCATTTCATTTTTTATTTCCATTTATTATTGCAGCTTTAACAGTAATTCATATTTTATTCCTACACGAAACAGGGGGAAATAACCCACTTGGAGTTTCTTCATTTGTAGATAAAGTCCCCTTTCACCCTTATTTCAACTTTAAAGACATCTTAGGATTTATTGTACTTTTCTGAGCCTTAATTATATTAACCCTTCTTAATCCCTACCTCCTTAGAGATCCAGATAACTTTATTCCAGCAAACCCCTTAGTAACTCCCGTTCATATTCAACCTGAATGATATTTTCTTTTTGCCTATGCCATCCTACGATCAATTCCAAATAAACTTGGAGGAGTTATTGCTTTAGTAGCTTCAATTGCTATTTTAATAATTCTACCATTTACTCACAATTCTACTTTCCGAAGAAGAACATTCTACCCTATTAACCAAATTACTTTCTGATATTTAGTCTCAGTAGTAGTACTACTAACATGAATTGGAGCACGCCCAGTAGAAACTCCTTATATTCTAACAGGACAAATTTTATCTACACTCTATTTTTTATACTATATTATTAACCCAATTTTTACAATAATATGAGATAAATGATTAAATTTAAAGTTTAGTTTATAAAAAACAAATGTTTTGAAAGCATTAATAGGAGTATCTCCAACTTTTATATCGAAAGAAAAGAATATCTTTAATATCCAAAATTAATATTTTTACTTACCTTAAACTATCCTTCGATCTACTACAATACTAAAAATCAAGTATAAAATAATATCTTTATACCTATACACCAAATTAAAAAATTTAAAGAAACAGGTAAAAAGCTTTTTCAAGCTAAATACATAAGTTTATCATAACGAAATCGAGGTAAAGTACCTCGAACCCAAATAAAAACAAACCTAATTATTACCACTTTAATATAAAAAACAATTCTCAAAGAATCAGGGCCTAAAAAAAACAATCTAAAAATTATCCTTATAAATAAAATACTTGAATATTCCGCTATAAAAATTAAAGCAAACCCGCCCCTTCTATACTCAGTATTAAACCCTGAAACCAACTCAGATTCCCCCTCAGAGAAATCAAAAGGAGTTCGATTAGTCTCAGCTAAACTAGAAGCAAATCACACTATTCTTAATGGAATAGTTAACCATAAAAACCAAACTTCCTCCTGGTATACAATAAAATCCTTAAAATTAAAACTCTCAATTAAAAAAATAAAAGACAATAAAATTAAAGCCAAACTTACCTCATATGAAATAGTTTGAGCAACAGAGCGTAAACTTCCCAACAAAGAATATTTACAATTTGAAGCCCAACCAGCTATTATTATAGGATATACACCCGCACTTAAACAACATATAAAAAATAATACCCCTAAACTTATATTAAATAAACCCCTACTATATGGTAATACCCTTCATAAAATTAAAGAAATAAATAAACTTAATACAGGAGCTATATAATAAGGTAAAAAATTAGATATTCTCAAATTTATATTCTCCTTACAAAAAAGCTTCACAGCATCAGAAAAAGGCTGCAGAATACCTATAATTCCTAATTTATTAGGCCCCTTACGAATTTGAATATAACCTAAAATTTTTCGTTCCAACAAAGTAACAAAAGCTACTCCTAATAACACACAAATAATTAAAATTAAATAATTAACAACTATAACCAATATTACCCCCCCGTGACCAAGCATTTTTATTATTTATAGACTCCCTATATTATTAGATTCTAAATCTAACGCATATTCTGCCAAAATAACTCAAAAATTTTTTAGTTATTTAATCCTTTCGTACTAAAATAACTACAATTAATCCTGAAAGATAGAAACCAACCTGGCTTACACCGGTCTGAACTCAAATCATGTAAAATTTTAAAGGTCGAACAGACCTTCTATTATAGTCTCTACTCTATAAAGAACTTTTAATTCAACATCGAGGTCGCAAACTTTCTTGTCGATAAGAACTCTTAAAGAAAATTACGCTGTTATCCCTAAAGTAACTTAATCTTTAATCCCTTTTAGGATCATTAAACCAAACATCACTGTAAAAAAAAAAGACAGTTATTTAATATTTTATCCTTGTCACCCCAACCAAATACTCTAAAATAATACCCTTAAATAAAACTAACTACTATATTATAAATATAAAGTTTTATAGGGTCTTATCGTCCCTCCAGATTATTTAAGCCTTTTCACTTAAAAGTTAAATTCAATATATTAATTTAAGACAGATTATTTCTTGTTCAACCATTCATTCTAGCCTTCAATTAAAAAACTAATGATTATGCTACCTTTGCACGGTCATAATACCGCGGCCTTTTAGTTCCCAATGGGCAGGTTAGACTTTATAAACCTCCATAAAGACATGTTTTTGTTAAACAGGCAGAAATAATTTTTGCCGAATTCCTTAAAGAAATATTTAAATACATAAAAATAATTTAATAATTTAAATTAAATTCAAACACAATTATATACTAATATACTCATTATACCTATTTCAACACTATTTCTAAATAATTTTTAATAAACAATTAAAAAACATATAAATATTATTAACCTAAATTTTACTTATAACACCCTATAAACCTGGCTAATTTTAAGCCTAGTTAAATCCTTTAAAAATATTTTTTTATAATATTAAATAATAAAGAGCTAATCCCCCTTATTTTAACTATTTTTATAAATATATAAAAATGCTAATTTAAATTCACTTCTTAAAAAACTAGATATTAAGAAACCCGATTAATATTTCACTTCTAAAATAAAATTATAAATTTTTCTGCTACAAAAACTTACCTTTTAATTTAGCTATTTCCTTTTCGAGATACATAACCGAATTATATTAATTTAAACATCTATTATACACAAGATACATAACTTTAATATTACTTTTTTATTATTAAATCTTAAATTATTTCAAATTTCCTTTACAGTATTTTATACTAAGTCTTTAATATTATTCAATTAAATTTACTATATTTAAAAAATCTTTTTCATATTAACTACACTAAACAACTATTCATAATCAAAATATATCGAATTACACGACAAACCTTCTCGGTGTAAATGAGATGCTAATTTTTAGCTTTACTTTGTAATTCTAGAGACACTTTCCAGACCCCTACTATGTTACGACTTATTTCACATTAAATGAAAGCGACGGGCGATATGTACATAATTTAGAGCTTATATCAAAAAATCTCACTACTCCTTTTCTTACAATTAAATCCTCCTTCATAAATATATTTAAATACTTAATTCATATTAAATAAATTTTATTGTAACCCATATTTACTTATTTATAAGCTGCACCTTGATCTAATATACTCAATAATATGATTTCAATAATATTTTCTCCTAAATTATCTTATAATGACGGTATACAAGCTGATTAACTAAAATAAGTAAAATAATGCGTGTTGTATCGTTTATAAAACAGGTTCCTCTAACTAGACTAAAACACCGCCAAATTTCTTAAATTTAAAGAACATAACTCCTAATATTCTAGTATTTATAAATTAAGTCTAAGTGTACTAGGGTATCTAATCCTAATTCATACCTTAGTTTTTTAAGTTTCACTACCTTAATTTTCAAATAAGTCTTTATATTTTATAACCCAATTTCACTTTTTATAAACATAAACTCTTATTTTAATTAATTTATTAATCTACTAATATACTTTATTTAATTTTCAAGTATAACCGCGACTGCTGGCACAAGATTTTGTCAAACTTATTATAATTTACTAACTCAAGATTTCTCCTATTGATAATATTAAATATTGCATACCTATATACACTATACTTTAAGCAAATATATTTCACCAAAATTTACATATACTAAATAATTATAAAACAAAGCTCAAAGCAAAAATCAAACTTTATTAAACATAATTCACCAAAATATAATTCAACTAATAATAAACTCACAACTTAAAATTTAAGAAAATATTAATAGAAACCAAAAAGAGGTATTCCACTGTTAATGGAAAAATTGAAATTATTTCCTATTAAGGAAATTTATTGGTTAAGAAAAAGCTTCTAACTTATTTCGTGAGCGGTTTAATTCCGTTCAAAGTTCATTATACGTAAGTGTTACAGCACGAGAAGTTTTGATCTTCTAAGAATGGGTTAAACTCCATTATGTATAATATAATTATACATGTATATTAATTCAATCTTGTTCAGCCCCCAACATAAATTTTATTTTTTCACTTTAATTCCAAATAATTTCATACATCTAATTCAATTTTAAAAATTAATAACATTAATAAATTTATTAATCTCTTCATATCTTTAATTACACCAAATAATAACTTTAAACCTTTATAATACATATATATACATTTAATTTATATTAAAATTATGCTATGTTATTAATATATATATTATTTTATATAATAAATTACACTAAAATACAATTTAATTAAATTAATTTATTTTAATAAAAATAAATTTTAACATAAAATACATTAAAATATTATAAAAAATATTGAGGAAGATAATCTTCCTCAATATTTTTTATATAATAAAATTTAAAAAAGTATAATTAATTCTATATATATAAAATAATGCTTTATTATAAAAAATTTATTTTTATTATTAAGTTATTTATATATATATACTAATTCAATCTTGTTCCACCCCCTCCAACATAAATTTTATTTTTTCACTTTAATTCCAAATAATTTTATACATCTAATTAATTTTAAGAATTTTCATGGATAATACAATTTTAAAAAGATTAGTCTTATTCTGCCCCCCCAGTAAAATAATTTATTAAAACATTACTATCATATTCTTGATTTATAGTAAATTATGTTGATTTTTCTCAATTTATATAATATTATATATTTAGAAATAACTACATCGGGCTACCTCTTTCATTTCCTTAAGATTCTAGCGTCTAAGGTCTTCTATCTTCTATTATTATTTATCAGAATATAAATATTATAAAAATCAGCTTCGATTGAGATATACCAAAGCATAATGAGAGGATTAACGGAAGTCTAAATAATAAAAACTTAGTTCAAGAAAAAAATGTTACGTAAAAGTACTCTTTTCTGACGAAGAGTACTTTTACTACATTTTTTCCTGTAGGTAGCCTTAAACTAATATAGAGAGAAATTTAATATAAGATTGCGTTCTATTTATACTAAATTTAATTTTTGTTATTTAGATAAGGTAATATATATATGTGCTTTAAAAAAATATTCTGCCCCCTTCTAAAATAAAAATCTTATTATTTTATATTAATTTTAAATAATTTAATACACACTTATCAACTCAAGAAATAAAATTCGATAACTAAAAATGTTCCCCTTTCAGAAAGGGGGGAACATTTTTAGAAGAAACTTCTTCAACTTTACAGCGAAAATGTAATATGTTACACACCTTAAAAACAAATTAGAGGCTTATTACCAAAATTTAGGTCGAAACTAAACGCGAATCTTCGCTTTCTAATTTATAAAGTTGATCTACCGATACCTTATGATTGCAAATCATAAATCATAATTGACTACAACTCTACTCATTCCACTCCAGAGCACCTTTCAATCACTCATAATACAAACCAACAAGTAAAATTAATAAAAATATCAACCCCGCCAATAATCAAGTAAAAATATTTGTTAACCTGATAATATAAGCCAAAGGTATTAAAAGAGTAATCTCAACATCAAAAATTAAAAAAATTACAGCTACTAAAAAAAACCGAAGAGAGAAAGGTAATCGGGCCCTTCCTTTTGGATCGAACCCACACTCAAAAGGTCTACTTTTTTCACGATCGACTACAACCTTCTTAGATAATAATGAAGCTACTAATATTACTAATATCCTTACTACTAAAGTAAATAAAACACTTGTTATTAAAATATAAATTAATTTTTCTAGACTCTAGACCTTTTGGTTGGAAGCCAAATATACATTTATACTAAAAAATTAACCCCCTCATCAGTAAATAAATACATATAAGAATAACCACACTACATCTACAAAATGTCAATATCAAGCAGCGGCCTCAAATCCAAAATGATGATAAGAAGAAAAATGACACTTATATAAACGATATAAACATACTGAAAGAAACGAAGAACCAATAATAACATGAAGCCCATGAAACCCAGTAGCCACAAAAAAAGTTGAACCATAAATAGAATCGGCAATTGAAAAAGATGCTTCCACATATTCAAAAGCCTGTAACCCTGTAAAATACAACCCTAATATAACAGTTAATATCAACCTTTGTAAAGCCTCTTTATGATTAGAATTTAAAATTGCATGATGAGATCAAGTTACCGTAGCCCCAGAAGACAATAAAATTGTAGTATTTAATAAAGGTACACCGAAAGGATTAAACGGTTGAATACCTCTAGGAGGCCAAAATCTACCAACCTCTACCACAGGAGCTAAGCTCCTGTGGAAAAATGCCCAAAAAAAAGAGAAAAAAAATAAAACTTCTGATAAAATAAATAAAATTATACCTCAACGTAATCCTCTTATCACAGCCCCAGTATGTAATCCTTGATAAGTACCTTCACGAACTACATCACGCCACCATTGAATTATAGTTAAAATTACACCTACAAATCTTAAATACAATAAATCTGCCCTAAATTGATGAAACCACTTAATTAACCCAGTAGTTAATATTATAGCTCTAATTGAACCAGTTAAAGGTCAAGGTCTTATATCCACTAAATGGTAAGTATGATGTGTATGTCTTGACATTAATTTACTTCTCTAGCATATAAAGTACTTAAAATAGCAAATACATATGATTGAATAACTGCAACAGCAGACTCTAATATTAATAAAAGAATTTGCAAAATAATAAGAACCCAAAGAATTCTTAAAGGTATAGAAGAACCCATTCCCCCTAAAAGCCTTAATAATAAATGACCAGCAATTATATTAGCAGCTAATCGCACTGCTAATGTTCCAGGTCGAATAATATTCCTAATACTTTCAATTAAAACTATAAAAGGCATCAATACTCCTGGAGTACCTTGAGGCACTAAATGAGCAAATATTTCTTGAGTGTGATTAACTCAACCAAAAACTATAAAAGATAATCATAAAGGAAAAGCAAGTGATAATGTTATTGCTAAGTGTCTTGAACTTGTAAATACATAAGGTAATAGGCCCAAAGAATTATTAAACACAATTAAAGTAAGCAAAGATACAAATAGCACATTTAAACCAATATTTTTTACTCCTAAAATTACTTTAAATTCACCATATAATATATTAGTAAACTTTAATCATATTATAACTCAACGTGAAGGAGAAACTCAATATATAAAAGGTAAAAATAACAAACCTAAAAAAGTAGAAATTCAATTTAAAGGAAGAGAAAAAACTCTTGAAGAAGGATCAAAAATTCTAAATAATCTTGTTATCATTTTCAAATTTTCTCAATCTCCCGATCCATTTTTCCTACCCGATCTAATTTACAATAAATTACTAAAAAATACTGTACAACTAATACTAAAATTAAACTCAACAAAAACATAATATATAAATTTATTCAAAAAAGAGGGGATATTTGAGGCATATAAAAATATTTATTCAATTACTTAAGTCTGACAAACTTATATTATATCTATATTAACTAATTTTTATTTCATCTGAAGTAAATTACTATTTCAAGCTTAAAAGGCTTACACTTATCTTTAAGTTATCAAATGAAGATTTTAAACATGAAGAAACTCAATCCAAAAAACTATTTACACTAACTCTTTCTACTACAATAGGTATAAAACTATGATTCGCCCCACAAATTTCTGAACACTGACCAAAAAATAAACCAGGCCGATTAATAAAAAACCTAATTTGATTTAACCGACCGGGAATTGCATCAGCTTTTATACCTAAAGCTGGAACAGTTCAAGAATGAATAACATCAGCAGCCCTAACAAGTATACGAATTTGAGAGTTTATAGGTAACACTACACGATTATCTACATCTAATAAACGGAACCCAGACTCAGAAAGATCTACCGTTCCTACTATATAAGAATCAAATTCTAAATCTAAAAAATCAGAATATTCATACCTTCAATATCACTGATGACCAATTGTTTTCAAAGTAATCCTAGGATTATTAATTTCATCTAATAAATACAAAAGTCGTAAAGAAGGAAATGCAATAAAAATTAAAATAATAGCAGGTAGAATAGTTCAAATAATCTCAACTTCCTGTCTTTCCAATAAATAACGATTAACCAAAAAATTAAAAAATAAATAAAATATAATATACCCCACAAATGTAACAATTAAAATTAACACAACTATAGTATGATCATGAAAAAAAATTAATTGCTCTATTAATGGTGAAGCACTATCTTGAAAGCCTAAATTTCCTCATCTTGCCATTTCTAAAAGAAGAAACCTTCCTTGTAGGAGCTTAAATCCTATACATCTATCTGCCATTTTAGAATTAATTAGAAATTAATGGAATCTCAGAATAAGTATGATCAGCAGGAGGATAAGAATGCTGTCATTCTATAGAAGTAGGTATAAAAAGAGATCTAAATCTTTTTCGACTTATAATAAAAGCCTCTCAAACAATAATTACAAATCCTAACACAGCTACCAAAGAAATAATAGAACCAATTGAAGATAAAACATTTCATGCCCTATAAGCATCGGGATAATCTGAATAACGTCGAGGTATCCCATTTAAACCTAAAAAATGTTGAGGAAAAAATGTTACATTTACCCCCACAAATATAGTAAAAAAATGAATTTTTAATCATTTTTGATTTAAAGATAAACCGGTAAACAAAGGGAATCAATGAACAATACCTGCAAAAATTCCAAACACAGCCCCTATGGATAAAACATAATGAAAATGAGCCACTACATAATAAGTGTCATGAAGAATAATATCAATAGAAGAATTAGCTAACACAACCCCAGTTAACCCCCCTACAGTAAATAAAAAAATAAAGCCTAATACCCATAATAAAGAAGGACTGTAATTTACTTGCGTTCCCTGAAGAGTTCCTAATCAACTAAAAATTTTAATACCAGTAGGAACCGCAATAATTATCGTAGCAGAAGTAAAATAAGCCCGAGTATCTACATCCATCCCTACCGTAAATATATGATGAGCTCATACTACAAAACCTAAAATACCAATAGCAATTATAGCATAAATTATACCTAATGTCCCAAAAGCCTCTTTCTTACCTGATTCTTGAACTACAATATGAGATACTATACCAAAAGCAGGTAAAATTAAAATATAAACTTCAGGGTGTCCAAAAAATCAAAATAAATGCTGATATAAAATAGGATCCCCTCCTCCTGCTGGATCAAAAAAAGAAGTATTTAGATTACGATCTGTTAATAATATAGTAATAGCTCCTGCCAACACAGGTAAAGATAATAATAATAAAACAGTAGTAATAAACACTGATCAAACAAATAACGGTATTCGATCCATGGTTATCCCTACTGTTCGTATATTAATAGCAGTTGTTATAAAATTTACTGAACCTAAAATAGAAGATACACCTGCTAAATGTAGAGAAAAAATACCTAAATCTACAGATGCTCCCGCATGAGCAATAGCAGAAGCTAAAGGAGGGTAAACAGTCCATCCTGTTCCAACTCCTCTCTCAACTATACCCCTAGTTAATAATAAAGTCAACGAAAAAGGAAGTAATCAAAACCTTATATTATTTATTCGAGGAAAAGCCATATCTGGAGCACCTAATATTAAAGGAATTAATCAATTTCCAAACCCACCAATTATAATAGGTATTACTATAAAAAAAATTATTACAAAAGCATGAGCTGTAACTACCACATTATAGATCTGATCATCCCCAATTAATCTTCCTGGTTGACCTAACTCCACCCGAATAATCATTCTTAATGAAGTTCCTACTATACCAGCTCAAGTACCAAAAACAAAATATAATGTTCCAATATCCTTATGATTTGTAGAAAAAAATCATCGTTGCGT